TGGGCCCGTAGCTCCCGCGGCGCCAGCGCCGCGCAGTGTCCAGATATCGCATCCGCTGCCTGCAGTGGCTTTTATTTCGCTTGTCTCCTAAATCTAGAAGTGGAGCATAGCGCCATTTCTTTCAAACCTGACATCCAGCCTCCCGAATGGAGGGTACAGCAATGACATGACTTTCCTTTTCTTTCTTTCTTTTTCTCTTTTTAAATAATCCAGTTCGGAGAAATGGAAGCGCCTCAGCAAGGGGCGCGAGAAATCAAAGAAGGGAAACCGGAGAGCGGGGAGCAGAAGCCGCGGAAGCGCCGCGGTCCGCTGCTGGTGACATGTCAGGTGACGGACGTTGAGGGGGCGGGCTGCTTGGAGATGCGTCTGGCATCAGGCCCAGGAGCAGTCACCGCGCGGGGGGCCCTCGCGGAGCGGGTGGCGGGAGGTTGCGGGGGGGTCGCGGATGGGCGGGAAAGAGGAGGGAGTGGGAGGGGGAACCTCGGGCGCTAACCGTGGGCGCGCTTACCGCCCTCCCGGAGCCTCGGCCCGCCTTTTTGCGTGCGCCGGGCGCTGAACGGTTCACAGATCTCGGGAGGTCTGGGGCAAGGGGGCGCGCGCGGGGAAGGCGGGTGCGCGCCTGCGGGGCGGGGATGGGAGCCTCTGCGGCGCGTGGAGCACAGTTTCCATTTGGGGTCGGGCACGGCGCTGCTCACCTCTGATGTTAAAAAGCTGCGCTGCGCTGCGCTGCGCTGCGCCCGCGCCGCTCGACGGAGCATGGATGTCGTGGGCACCTTTTTAGTCTTTGTGAGAATTCCGCCGCAAGTGAGGGCTTTCGAGGTACACATCTTGCTGCCCGCGGGTGAGTGGGCAGCGCCAAGTGTGCTGGACGTTGTGGCCCACGTGCTGACGCTAGTGAGGAGCCCGCCGAGAGCGCAGCCGCGGCATCCTGGAAGACCAGGTAGGAAAGGCCTCGAAAAGTCCCGGGCGCAATCAACCCGTAGATGATTTTGTTTGGTGTGATTTACGGCACAGCTGTATCATCTTATGGGGTGTGGAGGCCCTTTCCAGTCTCTTTCCCTACGGGTTACACTTACTTAGATGTGAGCGGCTTCCAGTGTATTGAGCCCGGAGCCCCTTCACATACCTCCTTAACCCGGTGAAAGTACGGGGGTAACCGGGAGATTCCAAACCCACCTTAGAAGTATTCCTGGATTTCCTGGGTGTAACAGTCAGCACACACACACACACACACACACACACACACACACACACACACACACACACACAC